GTTGTCCAATAAAACTCCTTCTGTCTTCAGTTCCTCACCCTTAACCGTACAGATAAAGATACAATTCACGAAAGGTTCTCAGTGAGAAAAGTTCAGTGCTGTGTTGCACTAGAGTGATTAATTTTATCACGATGCCAAAAGCAAAGCCAACTGAATTGTGTAATTTAAAGAAATGATATATTTTAAACTGACAGTGACATTTTATACCGCAAGATGTGTGACACAAAAGTAGCGGAAGAAAAAAGATTCACGGTACAACAATATATTGGCCGCAACAAGCATATATGAGCAGTGCAAATTTCAAACAAAAAGAAACCTGTGCAAATGTTACTGCAACAGTGTGCATCTGGAGGTGGAAATAAGTCGTCAGATTTTTTCAGACATCTGCGTGATGCTCTGGCATCCGCAAATATTCCGTTTTGGGCTCTGAACACTGGAAAACTGAAAAATTTTCTGGAAGTAAACTGGTCGTTCCATCCCGGATGAATCCACACTCAGGAAGAATCACCTTTCCCAGTGCTACAACAGTATCCTGGAAATGATTAGGAATAAAATGTATGGGAAGAAAATTTTCGTTTCCATTGATGAGACCTGCGATACGGAGGCTCACTATGTGGCAAACGTCATCATTGGAACCTTGGAAATTGGAGGGCCAGGTGAAGTGTTTCTGCTTACGAGTGAGGTGCTAGGATCCATTAATCATTCCATAATTTGTAAACTCTTCAATGTTTCTAATGTGGCCAGAGGGTATATGACACAACGTCTTGCTTTATGTGACCGATACAGCCCCATATACTGTAAAAGCACGCAAGTCAATAAAGTCGTTTTATACAAAATTGGTGCACATTACTTTCCTAGCTCATGCACTGCAGAGTGGCTGAGGAAGTGAGATCAAAATTTCCTCAAGTGGATGCTCTCATGTCGAGAACGAAGAAGATTTTTGTCAAGGCTCCAGCTCGTAAAATGCATTTTAAGTCTATGGCTCCTGGTGTTCCACTGCACCCAAAACCTGTCATTACAAGGTGGGGAATGTGGATTGATACTGCAATTTACTATTGCGATCATTTTCAGGTAGTGAGAAACATCGTAGATTCAATGAAGACGAAGGATGTGAGGGCAATTGAAGCTGCTCAGGAACAGTTCTCATGCATCAAAATGGAAGGACAGCGGGCCTTCATAAAGACAAATTTCAGTTCCTTGACAGAAGGAATCCAATGCTTGCAGGAGAAAGGAGCAAAGCTAGAAGATTCGCTCGCTCTGGTGAAAAAAATAGCCAGTGATTTGGAGAAAGTATCAGGGGACATTGGTAAAATGGTGTCAAGAAAAATTACAAGTGTTCTGGATAAAAACTCATGTTATGAAACATTATGCAGCATTTCTCAAATTCTGTCAGGAGAGTCCTTCAGTGCTTTCAGTATTGAAGAAGAACTTACTGCTAGTGATTTGGTACACTTCAAGTATGCTCCCATTGTGTCTGCACATGTTGAAAGGAGTTTCTCCAAGTACAAGAATGTGCTGTCGGACGATAGGCGCTCTCTCACTTTCGAGAATCTCCGCATGTTGACTGTCATCTATTGCAACTCGGAATGAGGTAAGATTTAAATGATGGAATACATACCATATATGTACATTTGATAAGCGTTCTAACACAATAGAGAAAATTGTATTAAAACATTTAGCTTCAAATTCAATCAATACTGCTTAATTTCCAACATAAAAACAAGAACGAATATAAAAGAGTAAAGATGAGTTCAGTGTTAATAAAGATTAAAAATACATTTTAAAATAATTAGTAGCTATTCTGACATATTACATTTTTGGGTCATATTTTAGGTAATTTTTCTGGATTTTTTCGGTCATCTTATAGGTCATTTCTTAAATATTTTCAGGTCATCAAAATCCAGGCCCTGCTGATCACCTACAAGATTTTCATGCACTGATTTGTCATCAAAGCTCCAAACCTTACAGTCCAATTAACTTCCCAGCTTCAGAACTTGATCGTCTAAAGTTCTGTAACAATGGTTTGAGATTAATTATAAAATTATGTTTGACACTGCCCATCATTTTAGTTGTATTTAAAGTTGTATGTTGTGTTAGAAGCTGGATTTGCTTCCATCATTATGTGCACACATGCATGTGCAGAGGGGGAGGGAGGGAATCTTACTCAGTTTGGTTCATTTGAGACAGACAGTCTCAATCAATAGGCCCAGTGATCAAGATCTGTCTAATGGGCCCAACTGAGCAGGATTTTTGCATCCTTACCCCTGATAACAAAAGCAGATTTAGCTTGTAGATCATCATATAATATGACTAATACAACTAAGATACAATGTCCAACATAATATTTTTATAATTAATAAGCTTCACAACTGATTTCCTCAAATTCCATATCAATACTAAAGGCTACAACTATGACAGCATTCCTTAATAATCACAATATTTTGTGCCCGATGTAACTTTTTTCCCATTATCACTGCTTATAAACACTTTACCAGAGACCTTTCATGAAAAAGACTGTATCACTCTTAATGCTGAATATGATAAAGGAATTTCAAGAATGAAGTATAAAGAATAATAATAGAACCATGTTTTATTTACAAGTGACAATTTATGTGTACAATGTAAACAAAAGAAATGGTATGAATAGTGCAGACAAGTTATGCAATGGTGATCCTTCCACAGAAATCTAAAGAGTCACACTGAGATTCCAAATTCTGCTTATAATACCTTCAGCTGGTTGCCTCTCACAAACTCATTGTAGGTGATAAAATTTATGTTTTAAAAATATCCACTCATAAACTTTACAAGAAACACAGTATAAAGAATGATGTAGTATGTTTAATCTTGTTTGTGCAGGAACTTAGTTTCATATAGACCCTATTACAATTTAAAAAATATTTTTAATAAATTAAGAGTTTACACCTCCACTTGAAAGAACAGCTTATTCTCAGTTCTGTGCTTAAATGTACATCCAGGCACTAGTTCCTGAACTGATCATTCTCTTTATCTGTGCTGAATGGTTTATGAACAACTCATGATTAATTCATTTGTCATGATTTTAGGCAAAATTAATATCCTCATAGATTTATCAAAATTCCATTATTAGGGCAACTTTCACATAACAGTCACTAAAATTATGGCACTGCAGTCACAGAATGCAACTCAAGCACTGATCTCAAGAACATAATAAGCAGCAGACTTATCACTATGTGATATAATGTTGTTACAATAGAAAAATAAAACTGAGTAGCCAATTTTAAAGCACCATACCAAAATAGGCAATACTGAAACACAAAAACGAAAGGCATGTATTTTTGTACAGACTTGTACGAGTATTGACAACTAAGAACTTCGGGGCCTGCACTGGAATGGCAACAGAGCAAATGTGCAAGATATGACAGAAGTGAGTGATGGCATCTGGCTAAACATTATTTTAGGGAACTCCAGGAGTTCCAGAACCATTTGAATGAAATCCTTCCATTGTGCCTGTCAAGGACTGAGCTTCAAGCTGTTCACTGAAACAGAACTAGTCTAAAAGTGAAGCTCCAAGAATCTGTTCTGGCTAAAAGGTCTCAAAAATTAATTTACATGTACTAAAACTTACCGATATGTTCCGTCATCCATTACAATGAATTAGTATTACATCAGTTTATACTTTTAATTAAACATAGTTGTGCTTCTTCTGGGTTTCCATATCATTACACCATTGTAACAACAGTTGCCCAAACACACCTTCAACTGATACTCTTGACTCCTACTCATTTACAACATTTTACATATTTCCTGAAGTAAGATACATGGCCTGTTCCCAAGTCATCTTTACTTTACAAGTCGTCTTCATTATTATTCTTATGTCATTTGTAACAAAACAGATATAATCTGCAATCAGATGTAAAATCTACATATAAGATGAAAATAATAATGCCTAGCAGTTTTAAAAAAAATGTTGAAGTCAACTGAAATTCATAGTTTTTGGCATTTTGGACATTATCCACTCTCCTCCTTTTTTTATTTACCACAATGTTTCAGAGACTGGTGAAGTCTTCCCCCATCCTCAGGTGGCCCTAATTGACAGAGTTAGTCCCTATTTCCAAGACACCTGAACTAACACAAGGCTGGATATATAAACCTAATCTAGCAGGTCTAGCAGGCCTCATGCATGTGACATTTTAAATTTTTGTCTTAACTCCCACAGTTTGGTTTATGTATCCTGTCCTGTGTTCATTCTGGTGGCTGGAGATATGGACTAATCTCTCGATTAGGCCTAACTGAGTAGGCCTCTTATCTGATGATGGAGGCAGAATCGAGTCTCCAAAACGTTTAAAATCAGAAAACAGAACTATAGATACTATAAAAAAAGTCAATAATTGCATTAATATACCATTGTTACAAACTTTTAGATCCTAAATGAAATTCAAATTAAAAGTATTTTATGTGCATCTACTTTCTCAGTCTCACGCACACTTACTACTGATCTTGTGATTATGTACCTTGAGCATGTTAAAAAGTCATTAGAAAAACTGACCTCATGAAACCTTCCAGATTATAATTTTAGCAAATCACAGCTTCTTAATTCTTTCTTCAACAAGTGCAGTTTTTGCCATAATAAATTTATCTGTTTACAAGTTAAGGAGTGTAATTACTCATGAAGTTCTACTGTCATTGTTACCCATGTGGGTACATGTCAATTTGAAATAAATAATATAATAAATATGTATAATCCAATGATAAAATAAAAATTATACCAGTAACAAATTACTAGCAACAGAAGAATGGCATTAACCCAATGTGTTGATGTATTACTGCACTGTTTCATGAACTGCCAAAGCAATCATCCATATGATTAAATTCCTTGTCAATATGTGTGTGTATTGTCTTGATTTTTATTATTGTCTGTTGTTTGTTGTTTTATATTTTCCGTGCTGACTCTGTAATTGGCCTCCGCTGTTGAGTTCGGCACGTAAATAAATAAAGCATTGAATTGAATTGAATTGAATATTAAATAAATAATAGATATTAAGAGACTTATGAGAACTCAGCAAGAAACACACATTATCAAGATCAAGATGATTATCTGTCAATCAAGGTCAGCAGATTCAGTTTCTGTTGCACTTAAAACTGTGTTTGATCCATCTGACTCTTGACACTTCTGGATATAGGAAACTGGATCAAACAGTTCTGGCACCTGAAAACCAGAAACAATGCACCAGCTTCAAAAAGGATGTAAAAAGACATCACACGAAACTTCTAGATATAATTACAGAAAGTTTGAATGAATGGGTGATAAACTGCAAATACATTTATTTATACAGAGTGATTCATGACTCGATACCTTGACTTCGGCAGCTTATATCTGAGGTCATTCCCATTCAGAAATGTCATATATGAACCTCAACAGTTACAAAGCAACAGACGATATATTTCCTAGTAGTTTCAAATCACATCCAATATATTTCTGTTTACTTCCTAGGAAGGTCTACTACTGGGATGACTAATGACATCAGGCATATACATACACCACAAATGACTGTATTATTTTATTGCTGAATATGAATAAAATTAACAGAAGGCATATTAAGATAGCTTTCTTAAATGTGTTATTCGGAGATATGAATTTGCACAGTCATACAGATATATTGCCACCATATTACTTACACAGACTTATCGAGTGTTCTCTTGCTTTAGACTATTGGTTTTAGATTAGAGCTCTTGACATGATCTTACTGAAACTGTCTATATGAAAAACTTATAACTTGCATATTGTGATTACAAAATAAACCTTCCAAATGTTCATAAGTCACATTCCATTATAAACGCTAACTATGCTTCACATATTCACATAAAAATATTATCAGTATTTAACAGAACAACCACAACACACTGAAGCAAAAGATTAATCACCCATTCATGATCCAGTACACAACTTACATTCATGAAACATGTGACAATATAGATAACCACACCAAGATCAGTGGTCAAGTTTGTACAAATATAAGGGATCACTGTTTATCATTGCCTTTTTATTGTTAGTGGTTGGTTCATTTTTTAATTACACACCCACTGGGTTCTATTTCGACATAATCACTGACACACATATTACTTTGTTCTCTGAAAGTTGGGACAAGTGCAAGTGGCAGTCAATAAGGCCCAATGATAGGTAAGGGTTTTCTGTCCCACTTTGTTTACTCATGGATTTATACTATTTTGTACTATAGACAGACTTTTTTCCTTGGTTTGTGGCACTTAACTGCACATGGTTCCATTTAACTTTACTGATTTTTTGTTTACATTAACTTTTTTTTACATGACTTGCAATATAGGGATGCATTTCTGATCACTACTTGAATATCCCTATGTTTATGCATACTGTCATGGTGCTGTCTGCTGCATCTTCAGAGCTAGGCCAGGCCACATTAAATATGTCTGTTTCAACTTGGTTGTTTTCTTAATGACTTGCATGGTAACACCAGCACTCATTAAGTGGGGTATGATTCTCCCAGGATCATCTTGAAGAATGAGGCAATATGACATGAACTGGAGGCTGTGGAACTAAATATGAGCTAATATATATGTAGGACCTATGCTACTGTCAACATAACAAATACCTTTTACATACATAGATTTTTATTTTCCATGACACGTTTCGGTCATACATGACCATCATCAGGCAGGAATATGTATAGTTATCGAAATACCATACAGATCCTTATCGGTGCAACGCATTGTATTAAATATTAACATAAAAACTTTACCTCAGATTAATATATAGTTAAAAATAGCAAATACATGATTAAGAATAAAGGTGTACTATATATAAAATGTTGAAATATTATTAACATAACTAAAGGTAAGTTTGAAGTATATAAACGGTATTAACACTTATATGTGCCGGTCACCGTCTAAGGCATGCACTGTCTTTGCTCGCTCGTGGGTTCGAATCCCACTCAGGGCATGGATGTTTGTGTGTGTTTTTATGTGTTTGTCTATAGGTAGAGGCCTTGCGACAAGCTGATCGCTCGCCCAAGGAGTCCTACTGTATGTGTAAGATCTCGAAAAACCGAATTGAACGGAGAAGTTCATGGAGGTAGGCCTAGGCCCACTGGGGCTGTAGTGCCAAGGAAAAAACACTTATATGTAGGGTTAGGGATCTGTATGCCAATGTAGTTCCTACAATATATTTTGTCTGAGACACACAACAGGATGCAACCAATGAAAATAAATTCGATCTGCATACTTGGTGCCTGGCTGCTTTCAGAAACACAGATTGGTAAGGCTAGGTTAGGGCCATTGACATTTAGACTATAAAACTAGGTGGCATGAGTTTGGATCTTAGGGCACTGCTGTATGAGTCTCCTATGCCTGTCAAAGGTTTATAGATGTTTCACATTTTCAGCTTTAAGTTTCAACTCAGTTATTAATTGAAAATTCAGTGACAGATGGTTCTAATATAAGTAGGTTGGTGAGTTCTATTACTGTAAATTCTGTACAAGTGCAGTTAGTTATCATCCATTTTTTTAATGTCTTTGTTAGGCCTTCCAGATACATATATGAGCCCAACTGAATACTTGTCATTGAATCAGTCTTGGCCTGTCAAAAATAAGTATGTGGTAATTCGCTGTTTACCCCCTTGATTGTACAATGAAGTGTCTCATGTGTTCATCACTTGTAGATATCAGAGACCCAACAAATCTCGTTTGAATTCATGACTTATATTAAACAAGCTGCAGTGGTTTTTGATACCTTGCTGTCAATATAAAATAATAAATTTGCTACTACAAAACTTGCCACCTGCTTTGAGAAACTACATATTTTGTGAGACCAAATTCATATGACAAGATGTTTGACTTAGCACAAACAATTTCAGACTGTCATAGTGGATTTGCAGAGCACTGGGTCTGAGTTGAGAGCCCCCACATTTCTTTAATTGTTCTGCATTGGCACACTAGAGCCCCAAGGCTTGGTGTAAAGATGTTGCAGGACCTAACCTGAATCTGTCAGTATGTTTGCTCCACTCACTCAGCACACATCACCACTAAAGATTTTACCAGGTGGGCCAATTTCAATCAGACTGTATGGGTGCAAGAGATCTGTACGCTGCCAAGAGCCCCCTCTGGAGAACTTGTCAGCAGCCCTAGTCCCTGCTCCCTTGTAGATCTCACTGTTTTGGGGAAAAAGTTTTGCACGTGAGCTGCCTTAGGATACTTGGTATTGCACCTAGTTTATTTGTAAAAATATCCAGCGTAAATTTTGACAAAGTAAACTTATTTCATGTATCAAATCAACTGATGAAGTTTACTTCTCTGCATCACTGCAAGCTTAATTGCCAGTTATTCAAACTGCAGGTAAAATGCAGTGATTTCTCCTGGGATTCTTCATTTCAAGTAACTGAATGGTTGCTAGTACCTGTGATAGTTGGGAATGATTCTGTGATACATTTTAGCACGGAAACGATCTGGAACAGAGGATTTTAACTGCATTTTCCCCTGGGAAAAGTGTCTCATTTCTCCAACCAACCAGGTGTGAAACATTATCCGGTGCATCTTCTATAGGACAGCCATGTGAATCCTACTGGTTGGATGGCAATGAGACTCTGGGGTTGTGGGAACTAGTGGATGGATTCTTGCAGCCATTTTGGGTGAGGAATGGTGTAAGGTGTACGTGGAATTGACTTCATTGGAAGTATGTGGTTCAATCTGCTTAGTAACTACATTTGCTTCTGCTGTTTCGGTCGTCCCAGTCTGATATGCAGTCTCATAGTTGGGGGGGGGG